GTTGGAATTAAGCAGGAGCAGGTCTGGTGTCTGGTGACCCTTGAGGAGAACCCCAGCCCCAACCAAGGGTCCCATGCTTTTACAGTTTAATTCTGATTCCTATTTTATTTATTTTCTTAAATAGATATTTTGTTCCCATGAAACAAAGCTCAAAAGGTACCAAAGGTTATTCAGGAAATATCCCCCACCCTCCACGGCTTCCTGGGTTTCCCAGCTCCCTCCCTGAGGTCAATCCAGTCCCTAAGAATTCGTTCCAGAACAACCCGGTGCCTGTACCTGCCAGGACACAGACACACACACACAATACACACTCACTTGCACGCACATTCTCACAAATGCACAAGCACACATCCCACTCCCCCTCACACACGCACGCCCTCTCACACACAGACAGGCTCATCCTGCACCCATCAGGCACTCACACCTTCCCACCCCCACACACTCACACACACCCTGGCACATGTTCTCTCACAGTCACATGCTCATGCAGTTACACCCTTCCACTGCACACTCTGAACTGAACTTGGCTTGTTTGCACCCACTGGCACATCCTGGGGATTGTTCCACATCAGGATTAGACAACTGTCCCTTTTTTTTTTTTTAAAGAATTTTATTTATTTGTTTTTGGCTGTGCTGGGTCCTTGTTGCTGCATGGGCTTTTCTCGAGTTGTGCTGCATAGGTTTCTCACTGCAGTGATTTCTCTTGTTAAGGAGCACAGGCTTCAGTAGTTGTGGCTCCTGGCTCCAGAGGGAGCACAGGCTTGATAGCGGTGGCACACGGGCTTAGTTGCTCTGCAGCAGGTGGGATCTGCCCAGACCGGGGACTGACTCAGTGTTCACTGGCACGTGGACTCTTTACCACCGAGCCGCCAGGGAAACCCTGGCAAACCTTTTGAAACTTCAAATATTGATATTCTCTGTGTTGTTTCTAATTTGCCATTTCTGGCTCCTTTAGGGCATTAGAGATTTGGAAACCTCAGTTCTTTTCCTTTTCCTTTCTTTCCTTCCTTCCCTGCAGCTTGACACCTCTGTGTGTCAGGTCATTTTCGAGGCTCTGGGACAATCTGGGTGAATCAAACATGATCCCTGTTCTCAGGCAACTCCTAGTGTAGACACCTGAACAGACAGTCATGACCCGAAATAAGCAAGTGATGTGTGTCTCAGATCCGATCAGGCTGGGATGGGGGTTCCAGGAAGAATTGGTTTGAAATCAGCCAGTTGAGTTAGTCTGGAAGAGTGGGCTGGCAATGGGGTGACCAGCTCTGTCCTAGTTTTGCATTGAAAGTCCTGTGTTCTGGAAACTGCCTCAGGCAAAGCAGGACAGCTGCTTCCCCTGGTGCCGTGCTGGTGAAGAACAGGAACAGGGAATGACTTTCTATGTGAATGTCATTATTTGCATGAGACATGAGTTGCTCAGGAGCTAGTGCTGGAATGGCTGATGAACCAGGCCACTCATGGTGGAATGCAAACAAATGGTCATGTGACTCAGTTATAGCCAATGGGATGTTAACTTAGGGCAACTTTGGGGAAAGGTCCTTACCTGGCAGAGGATGCCCTTCTTTGCTGCTTCCTCCACTGTCCAACTGCAGGAATGCATATGTGATGGATGGAGCTTGAACTGCTTTATTGGTCCACGAGGCAGAAGAAAGGTATTGGGGATGCCCCAGTAGCAAAACGGAGTGAACTGAGGATTCTGATGTCATCATAGGGCCCCTCCACCAGCCTTCAACAGCCTTCCTCTGACGACTTTTTAAAAATTTGTTTGTTATTTTATTTGTCTGTGTCTGGTCTTACTTGTGGCACATGGGCTCAGTAGTTGCAGCACATGGGCTTAGTTGCTCCATGGCATGTGGAATCGTTAGTTCCCTGACCATGTCCCCCACATTGATCGGGAGACCCTTAACCCCTGGACCACCTGAGAAGTCCCTGGACAGCTTTTATGTGAAAGAGAAAGAAACTTGCTCTCTTCCTTTATGGTCCTGTTACGCTCTTCAGTTCTCTTTTGACAGACACAGCTGGACTCAGTGCAAACTGGGACATTGTTGCAGAGTGGAAGGGGTGGTGGCTGCAAGGGGGTCTGGGCTGGCACAAATCAGGGTGATGATGGGGTCCCGGGCTGGACCTGGGCTGCAATGTGGAGTCAGCAGAGGGTCCCTGGGGAGAAGATGGTGCCGAAGTCCAAAGGCTGCTATGGGGCCCTGAAGTTATCTGGGAGCTGGAGCACAGAGGAAGGGGGAGGGGGCATTTGGTAGCGGCCACGGCCGAGGTGGGCACAAGGTCTGGCATCCCCAGAAGAGGCAGCCCTGTGACGGGTGGAAGCGTCATGGTCAGAAAGGACACAGGAGCCAGAAGGGCCCAAGCACACGTGCCCCACGGCTCCTGTGAAAGTGGGGTCCCTGGGCAAAAGCCAACTCTGTCCATGAAAGCCAAGGGTGCAGGGAGGTCGGTTCACAGTGGGACCCTGAGGACGCAGTGTGGAAGGCGCAGGACAGGGTTTAAGGGGCTTTGAATATTGGGTACTGGGACAGAAGGCGGATGGCTGGAGGAGGCTGGGTACAACCCCCAAACGCCTGAGATCAAGGTCTGGGCAGGCCTGAGAGGGCTCTGTCAGGCCCCTGCCATTGGAAAAGTTTCTGGATTCCTCTTCAGGTCATCTCAGAGAGAATCTGATGTCCTCTGTCAGACTCTGGTTCTAATCCCAGTCCTGCCACATTCTGGTTGGGTGACCAGTGAGCCTCAATTTCCTTGCCTGTAAAATGGGAAGGAAGGCATTAGCTCTGCAGGGAACATGAAACCAGCTAGGTGGGCACCAGTGTGTACACAAGGGGTGGGGGTGGAGGTGGGGTGCTTGGCATGCTTGCTGATGGCAGCCATGCCTGAGCATGGATGAATCTGGGTCCACAGTTTCTGCCTTCACCTGCAGATGGATTTTATCATTCTCTTTTTTAACCTGAAGTGTGGCTCAGACAGTGAAGAATTTGCCTGCAATGCAGGAGATCAGAGTTTGATCCCTGTGTTGGGAAGATCCACTGGAGAAGGGAGTGGCAACCTACTCCAGTATTCTTGTCTGGAGAATTCCATGGACAGAGGAGCCTGGCGGGCTACAGTCCATGGAGTTGGAATGAGTTGGGCATGCCTGAAAGACAAACACTTTCACTTTTCACTTTCATAGTTAATTTGCAATGTTGTTAATTTCTGCTGTATAGCAAAGTGACTCAGTTATATACCCATATGCATTCTTTTTTATATTCTTTTCCATTATGGTCTATTCCAGGGGATTGGATACAGTTCTCTGTGCAATATAGTAGGACCTCGTTGTTTATCCATTTTGTATGTAAGAGTTTGCAAGTTCTACTAACCCCAAGCTCCCAATCCATGCCTCCTGTTCCCACCTCCCCCTTGGCAACCTTGTGTCTATTCTCTATGTCTAGGAGTCTGTTTCTGCTTCATAGATAGGTTCATTTGTGCCATATTTTAGAGTCCATATGGTATTTGTCTTCCTTAGATTTTTCTTTATATGCATTTTTTTTCTTTATATGCATTTTTAAAAGCTTTAAACTGAGTTCATGAGTTTGGGGACAGAAAATACATGCATGTGGTATAAAAGGGTCTACAGCAAAAAGCGGCCTTTCTCTCCCTTCCTGAGCCGGCCTTCCCCCTGGGAGAATCAGCATCCCTCGCTGAGAAGCTTCCAGAACTACTCTAGCCTTAATAAATCTCAGCTGTTATCTTCATCTTTGTGGTGCTCGAGTTTGTCACTCTCTCCTGCAGCCAGAAGACTTGCTCTAGGGGAGAGGGGAGATGGGCTTATTGAGGGCCCACTCCATGGGGTCACCAGGTGAGAGACTCACACCCTCCTGCCGTTCGGTCCTCCTGACATCCCCGCAGGAACAGCCACCCCTCATTCTACAGCCGGGGACAGGGAAACACAAGCGAGCAGGCCACTCAGCTTCCAGGAGCCTCGAATCCGGTCTTGTTCTTCTCAGCCACACAGGCTCCTGCCTCCTGCTCAGAAGGGAGTTGGCCTGATTGTCTAAAGGGTCTTCCACTCTGTTTTCTCACTTCTCTGCTGACAGAAACTTCTGCAGAGCTGCTCTTTTTACTCCCCGTCCTGCTCACCCCCATTCCCTGTGGTGAAAGAGATGGCAGCTCACAGGAAAACCTTCCCTGAGGCAGAGAGTTTAGAATCTAGAGGCAGCAGAGTTGCTTCATCTGACACTGGATGGAACGTCACAGGGTCCCTAGGCCTGTGACACTGGATATAGGTGGAAATGCACCTTCCCAAAGAGGGGGTTTGTAACTGCTCGGTATTAAAAAAGAGAAAAAGCCTGGAACTGATTCTCTCTGCCAAAGAAAGGAGGAGAAAGGGGATTATAAACCGTGACTTGAGAGGCAGAGGAAGGTTCTAGAATGTTCAATAAGTGGCCAGTTTGTTTGCAATTGTTTGCGAAGGCCCCCCAAATAGTCACCCCTGAATGCTAAACTGAGTCAGGGACTTCTTGGAAGGCCGGGTGAGAAAGGATGTCTGAGGGAGTTGAGGTGTCTCATTCCATGGCTGGGGTGCACCTAAAGGGACAGGTTTGAGTGAGGCCTGGGTGTTAGTGGACATGTGTGTGACTGGATGAAGGTGTCAAAGGCTTGAGGTGGCCTGTGAGATGGGGTGGGGGTGGCATGAGAGGGAGAAGAAGGGGCCTTGTCCCCATGGGCTCTTGGGTGCAGCGCAGCACCTATTTAAGAGTGAGAGACGGCATGTGTGCGACGGCGTACACGCGCGCCTGCTGCCACAACACCCACAGTGCCCCCCCGACCCCCCCATACCCCGGCCGCCCCCACCGGAGGAGGGAGATCTTTATCTGGCCCCTGGTGCTGCAGGAGTTTCAGGCTTTCTAACCAGTCAGATCTCCCCCGCCTTCCCACCCCCAGACCTTACCCCCTCCATCCTCTGCACAGGAAGTGGGCTGGCCCTGGGGTTTTAGTCTCTGCCTGCTTGGCCCCGGCAGCCTTCTACTACCTGGGCCGAGGGAGCCGGAGCCCGGCCCTGGGGAGATGGCTGCGGTCCCAGCAGCGGAGAGAAGCGGAGAGAGCGCGTCGCAGCTCCATGTCCCAGCCAGGTAAAACCCACCCTGCCCTGGCCCAGCTCGGCCTGATCCCCAGGCAGCTGAAGCCTCCCTCCTGGCCCCTGCCACCAGCCAGGGGGCTGGAGGTGAAGGACACGGGGATTTCTTTCAACTCTGACTCAGATCCACCAAAAGTTTCTGCCTGATCTGCCATCTCTCAGCCCTTGCCCCCAAGCTTAACTTAGAGCCCCCCAGGGATGGGGCAGGCCCTGTTCCCATGGCTCTGGCTTCAGGTTCTAGTCTTTCCCTCCCTCCCAGCTCTCACTGTGGGAGGCCGGGAGATACTCTGGGATGAGGGGCTTTCCCAGGCCCTGTGCTGGGCCCCCCAACCGAGAAGAGTGGAGAAGGAGGTTCGAGACCTGGGAAGGGGAAGGCTGGCTGAGACTCAGATGTGCTGGGTGCCCAGACAGGGTGTGGGGTGTGGGTGGGAGAGATGTGGCCTATACTGGGGAGGTGCCCCTGTGTAAAGGGCACCTCAGAAGGCTGTGGGGTGGGGGAAAAGGAGAGGGACCCCTCTGAGACCTGGCTATGAAGTGGGTGTTCTGGGAGGTTTCTGGGAGCCCTGGGCTGGAGGCCGGACTCCTGAGCTTGAGTTCATCTCTGTTGTCCCTTACTTGTATGTGTGACCCAGCAGGTCAGGAGGGTCTCCAGGTGCCCCCGAAGTCAGGGTCTCCCTCCACTCCTGGGGGCTGAGGCCTCCCACCCTGAACTGTGTTTGGAGCACCTAAGAGGTGGAGCCACCCCCTAGGGTCCCCTTTCTTCCCCTAAAGCCAGCATCCCACACGCAGCTGGGGAGATGCTCCCAGACTTAAACAGCAAGAGGGAGTCCTAGAGTGGGAGATGAGGGATTGGCTGGAGAGGCCGAGGGGAGATGGAGCCCATCAAGGTCAGGGGAAAGGTGGGATGTGAAACCGAGGGGAGATGGAGCCCATCAAGGTCAGAGGAAAGGTGGGATGTGACTCAGACTACCAAGCCCCTGCTTCAAACCCTCCCCCAGCCCCTGGGTACCCCACATCCCACGATATTAGCCCTGGCAGAGCCTCAGGCTATACTGACTGGGTTCAAATCCCAACTCCAGCCCAAGAGGCTTACAAAGGACTTAATTTCCTCATCTGAGAAAAGGAGTCATAACAATACCTACTCATAGGGTTTCTGTGAGCTTTGAATGAGGTAGTATCTGAAAGTGCTAAAGACAGTGCTGGGCAGAGGGCGGGCTGAGCATTAGTCATCATGACCACTGTCATCACGACCACCGTCACCGTTACCATCACCATCAACTCCATCATCATCACCATCGCCATCGTCATCATCCTCTTCTAACTAGACATCAGATAACCTGCATTAGAGGCCAGTTCCTTGGGCAGCTCTGACAGTCTTGACACCTATCAAATGGGGATAACAACACACATTCCCAGGGCAAGGTGGGGACCCAATGAGTCCGTGAGTGTGCTCGGCTGTGCAGTCATGAAGGGCAGGGCACAGATGCGTGGACGTGTGTGAGATTTCAGGATGGAGCCAGCTGGGGACTCAGAGATCCCACTTGCCCTCCCTGAGGCTGGGCCTCATCATTCCTCTGCCAGCTTGAGCAGGTTTCTTAACCCACCCGAGACTGTCTCCTCCTCTGCAGGAGCGGGCAACCTCAGAGACAGTTGGGAGCCCTCCTCAACCCATCCTCCTTGCTCTTTGCCCTCTCGGGGTTCCGCCGCACGCTTTTGGCTATGGGTGGCGGGAACTCATTCTAGATGATGCTTCTCCTGCCCGACTCACTTAGGCTGGGGCTGTGGTTTGGCCCTGACCTTCCTGTGATCTTGCACAGCTTTGCCTCTATGCTTCTCCTCTCACACGGAGACTGTGCCAGATCCTGTCCTGAGCCTAGGGTGACCCTGCAGGTGGGGGTCTGGTCCCAGGCAACTCCCTCTGGGGGGCCCCCAGGGCCATGATCCACAAAGAGAGGGCGCCAGGGGCTTGCTGGAGTTGCTTTCCTGGGCTCCCCAGCCTCTGGGGTCCCAGCCCTGGGCTCCGTGCTATCGTAGGTTGGAGGATCCAAAGAGGCAAACAGCCCCATCCTGGGAGCGTGGCCCTGGGGAGACAGTAGGCTAGTCAAGGAGGTGCCCCCAGGTACCTCTTTGGGCCCTTCTCCACAACCAGGTCAGGTGCTTGCTGCCCCTGCCAGGGTCTGACTCCCCAGGGAGGGGAAGCTGTGGGCCCTATCTCTGGGACAGAATCTGGGTGGGGCAGAATGATGGGAGGGAATGGGCCTCAGGGTGCAGTCCTGGGGTGGAAATCCATCTCTGCTTCTTCTGCGATGCGATCTTGGGTGAGCTCATGGCTTAGAACCTTGGTCTCCTCATCTGAGTAAGGAGACAGTATATGCTTCCAGCCCCTGCTGCTGGCGGATTAGATGAGCTGGTGCAGCAAAACCCTGGCAGTGTGAGGGCTTCGTCCCCATCCCCCACCCCACTCGCCTCCTCTAGAATTGCTATGAGGTATCCTTACAAGGTGATCAGCACAGTTTACTGGGCTCCAGGCAGTGTTTCTTGGCTCTGATTCCACAGCTGCCTCTTATGAGCTGTGTGACCTTGGGTAATTTGCTTCACCTCTCTGCACCTCAGTTTCTCATCTGAAAATGAGAATAATGAGTGTATCTCCAGTAGATACCCTGATTGCCATGGTTAAAGATTTAAAATAGAGCCTGGCATAGAGGAACCTCTTGACAAATAGTTTTGGTTTGGTTAAGGGGGCAACTGGGTAGAGAGGAGGTGGGTTCTAATTCCAGCTCTGTGCTGGCCTCTCTACGTGGATGTAAATAGGTCTTTCCTCTCTCTGGGCCTTATCTTCCCCAACTTTTGAACAAGGTTGGACATGCTAGAGAGTCCTTTCAGCAATGACAACATGGGTCCCTGAATCTTGAAAGGAAAGGAAAGAGCATGTGTGGGGCAGTGGGAACCGCAGGTGCAAAATCCCTGAGGCTGGCATGGCGGGGAGCCGATGGGTGCACCTCAGGAGGACAGAGCCCAGCCTGTCTCTTGGGTGGGGGAGGAGGTGGCTGGGTGCTCACTCACACTCTTTCCCCTTCTTCCTCCATCCAGGGCTCCCTTCCCCAGCCCCCACCCGTGGATGTGATGGCGGCTCCGGCTCTGCCCTGCTGCCTGTCCCTCCTCATCCTCCTCTTGCCCCTGGCCATCCCTCAGGCATCTACATCAGTGAACGGTGAGGACCCTGGCATCTGGAGAGCTGGGCTTTCCTCAGGAGGGAGGCCGAGGCCCTTCTAGAACTTGTTCTGAGACCCCTGATTCTTGGCAGAAGCTCCATCAGCAGGGGCAGGAGGTGGGGGAGGGGGCCAGTGGGACCAGAGATCAGGTATCTACCTTCTCCCTCCACCATCCTGTCTACACTGTACCCACAGGCCTCTTCAAATCCCAGGAAGACAATGTCTTCTTGTCCTTGCACTGCCTCGACCAGTCTGGGAATCTTTGCAGGCTGTGGGATTTAGTTTTGTCCTCTCTGAAGTGGACCCACTAACCCTTTCTCTGCCCACCAGGATTGAGCATCTCCTCACCTGATGGGGACAGGAGTGGCGGGCAAACCCTTGAAGGCCATGGGTGCCCTACAGCCAGCCCCACAAGCCACATTTTCACGGCATTTGCTTCCAACATCACATGCTTCTACAACTCGAGAGCCAACGTCTCTTGCATCTGGAGCCATGATGAGGGCCTGCAGGCCACCACCTGCTGCTTGCACAGCCATCAGCCTAAGAGGTGCGTGTGGGGTTGATGGCCAAATGTACACAATTGCAGGGTGCTGAGATCTTGTCATCCTGACTTTTAGACTCTTGAAATCCTACTAACAGCTCTGAGACTCCAAGAATTCTGCACTTTGAGAATTTTGGCCTAAAAAGACCCACAGACTGCTGGTGTCACAAGACTACGGAAGAACTGGGGGTCAGATATTTAGACTCCTGGAACCTGAGTAGCAGTAGCGATCCAGGCTGCAGTGGCAGGCCTGGGCATGAGCCAGACTAGATAGTTTGGGGACAGTGGGCTGCTCGCCTGATACACCAAGGATGGACTCAATGTTAGAGGCAAGGAGGACTGAATGGGGTTCCCCAAAGTTTTTGAGTAACCTGGGATTTTGTGAGATGCCTAGGACAGCTGTGGGGACGGGACTGGGGAGACCCACCAGCTGGGAAGGAATCCATGAAGGGGCACTGATCCAAACATCCTGCTGGTAGCAGCCAGCAGGGCAGCTCTGACCTTGGCTCCCAGGTGGGTGGTGATTCTAAGGGTCTCTGGAGGGCCCACCAAGGATCGTCCACACCCTCAGCCCTGTGGGGAGAATTTGGAAGGCTTTAGCGGGGAAGGGCCATGTGCCCTGAACGGATTTGTTTCTGGATCACTTTCACTGCCCTGGGGCTTGACTGGGAGGGACAGATGCTCACAAAGGGAAGCAGGGCAGGTGGGGTTGGTATAAAGCCTGAGCTCAGATCAGTAATGCTGCAAGGCGACCCTCCTGAGGCCAGCTCTGAGGGGGCCCCTCTTTTTCTTCAAAGAGAGGAGCTTTTTCCTACAAAACAGTGGAAACACACCTGTGAGCTGCAACCAGTGAAGCCGGGATCCTGGGCATGCAATCTGGTTCTAGGACAATCTCCAGAAGTGAGTAGCCAGAAATGAGGGGGTGGCCAGCGGGGCTGGTGGGTGCAGAGGAGCATCTTTCTGGTGGAGGCGCCAGCACACCCAGTGGTCAGGGGCTGCGGCAGAGTGGGCTTCCTGGGCTGGGGAGGCAGGAGGAAGAAGGCAGCATCCACGAGAGCAGATGACTGACCCACGGGTGGAGGGATCCGAGGTTATTGAGATGTCGGCTGCTCAGCCCTGCTCCTGCCTGTCTGCTGTTATAAATTAAGTTTTATTGGCACACAGCCACACCCATTTGCTCTCTTGTTTTTTTATGCCTGCTTTCGCAGGACAGCCACAATGGCGGCACTGAACAGTTGTGACAGAGATCATATGACCTGCAGCATCAAAAATATTAACTATCTGACCCTTTTCATAAAGTTTGCTGAGCCGTGCCTTAGAGGGAGGATGTCAGGGAGGAGGTCCAGCTTATTACAGCCGTGGTTTCCCCTGCCATCCACATCTCAGCAGCCTCTCCATCCTCACACCAGCTACTGGAAGTTTTATCCCCAGTCTCCTTCCCTTTCAGGCTCAGAAACTGACCGTAGTGGACGTTATGAAACTGACGGTGATGTGCTCTGAAGGCGGGAAGTGGAGGAAGATGATGACCCACGATATCAAGCCCTTTGATTACAGTGAGTGAGGACTCCAGGGTGGAGCTGGCGTGGGGTGGGCAGCCACCTTCCTCCCTGTCTCCCTCTCTAGTCTCTACTCTCTCCCATCAACTTCCACGTCCCCATCTGAGCAACTCACTGTCCGCTGAACTTGGGATGAAGTCCCGGACACTTACCCTGGTGTTCAAGGCCACTGGGCCTGGCTTCCTTCTCCAGAATGCCTCCTCTTGTGGCTTATATTCCTGCCACACCAAGGGCCAGCTCTCCAGGCTCAGCTTGCCCTTCCATACCTCTAAATACTTGCACACCATGGACCCACTGCTTGAAAGGCTCTTGTCACCCCAAAAATTGTCACTCATGCTCAAGTTCAGTGAGGAGTCACCTCCTTCAGGAGGCCTTCCCAGACTCCTGGAGCCCTTGGTACCTCCTCTTTCAGGGTGTTTATGTCCTGGGTCTTTGCTGCCTGATAATGGGTCTGTCTCCCTCATTGCGCTGTGAAATTCCCTGAGGGCAGAGCTTCTGCCATCCTTACATCTCTGTTCTGAATACTCAGCATAAGGGCTGATCTGGAAGTGACTGTAATCTGAATGGCAGGTCATTTAACATGCCTGAGCCTCAGTTTCCTCATCTGTAAAGTGGGGATAACCTGTTACCTGCTGCCTACAGTTGGGGCTTCTGTGGTGGCTCAGTGGTAAGGAATCCACCTGCAATGCAGCGGACGTGGGTTAGATTCCTGGATCGGGAAGATCCCCTGGAAAAGGAAATGGCAATTCCAAGTATTCTTGCCTGGGACATTCCACTGACAGAGGACCTGGTGGGCTACAGTCCATGGGATCGCAAAGAGTTAGACATGACTTAGCAACTAAACAACAGTGACAATAACATGGTTGCTTAGGAACCTATGAGCCAAGACACAGAAATATCTCAATAAACATTTGCTTATTATTATTTGTGGAGTTCTACAGAATCTCAGAAGTATAAAAATTTAGATCAATTGAACTTCAGAATCATACAAACTTATAATCATCCAAGATTGCTGAAGTAGAATTAAATAAAATAAATGAGATGATCCAGGTAAATCTCTGATCAAATCTGAGTGCAGAGAAAGGCTGCCTTGATTCTTTCATTCTGCAGATAATCTAATCAATTGCCCACCACGTATGGCCAGGTAACATTCCAGGCACCAAGGATACTCCAGAGATCAAGTCCTTGCCCTCAGAGAGCTCAGTCTAGTGGGGGAGACAGAAAACGAATAAAGAATCAGATATTTAATATGTCAGATGACGATAAGTACTAGGTAGAAAAATGAAACAAGCAAGGGGGACAGAGAGTGGTGGATGGTCGGGGTAAGCTTCTCTAAATGGGTGATATTTGAGCAGGAACCTGCCGATCCCTGGGAGAAGAGAACATTGGGAGGGAGGAACAGCAGGTACAAAGGTGGAGGTGGGAGCTCGGCTCGGCTTTCTCATCTCAGCGTCAGCATGTGGCATCCCTCAAGCTTGTTCTCTCTGCCTTTGTCTCTTTCCTATCTCCAGTTCGTCTGGTTCCACCCCACTCACTCCAAGTCGCCCACGTAGAGATGCATAGGTGCAACATAACCTGGACCATCTCCCAGGTATCCCACTACATCCAAAATGATGTGGAGTTCGAGGCCCGGACTAGGTCTGCGGGCCACAGCTGGGAGGTGAGTATACCTGGCTCCGTCCCACCTGCCCTAATTCCTCTCTGTCCTCATCACCCTGTCCATCCTTCATCTCAGCAAAGCCACAGAAGCCCCTAATCAACCCCTGCTGCTCCTTGGAACTGCCCCCCAACACCCTCCCTCTGATGTCCCCTGACACTCCAGGGGTCCTGCCAATGGCAGTTTCTAGGCAAGATTTACAAAGCTAAGAGGCAGCAGACTCCCCCTCTGAAGATTTCAGAGGCCCTGGGCAGCCACTGTTCCCTCTTCAAATCCAGTGTGGTCTAAGTGCACGGAGGTTGATCACTTATTCATTCACTTACCCATTCCTTTATTTGCTCATTCACTCAACAAACATTCCCTGAGTACCTACTACGTGCTGGATGCTGGGGAGAGAATGGAGGGAGAGTCGGACAAGCTGCCTCTGAGGAAACTCACATGGGGGAGAGGAGCAGACTCTGCAATGTTTTTAGATACTCTCATGAAATATCATTGTGATAACACAGTTGAGAAGGGCTGGGCCAGCTCCTGCAGACTCAAGTGACCAGGCCTTTCTGAGATCTGGGCTCAAGTAGGAGCTGATTATTTGAGGATTTGGGGAGAGTCTTCCAGGCAGAGGAAAAAACCATTGCAAAGGCAAAACACGGCCTGTGTGTCTGGTGTGCTGGAAAAAAAGCAAAAAGGGTGACGCCGAGCGGGGAGAGGTCTATGGGAAGCCCCTCTTTCTGGCTGAGTGTAGAAGAGACTGCCGTAGAGCACAGGCATATGGGGCGCAGGGAAGGAGGGAGACCTTGGATGGGGCTCAGAGGTCGTGGGAGCTCAGACCTGCAGGAGGAAGGAGTGGAGGGAAGAGAGAGGGTCCAGAATAGGTTCTGGAGGTGGAACCAGCTGATTGACAGATGGCTTTGGATACTGGAGTTGAGTGAGGAGGAGGGGTTCAGGAAGACCCTGATTCTTGGGGCTCCTGCAAAGTGGTTAGTTGGGGAGCCTTTCTGTAAGAGGTGGGGGACAGTGCAGGGTGCATGTCTAGAGGGGTAAAGGAAGGCACTGCTCTGCTCATATGCTCAGCCAGCCCTGCCACAGAAAGTGAGGGGGCAGTGCAGACCCCTCTGGTCTGACAGCCCTATCTCTGCCCCAGGACACCCCACTGCTGACCCTCAGGCAGAACCAGCAATGGATCTACCTGGAGAATCTCGCTCCAGGCATGGAATATGAGCTTCAGGTGCGGGCCAAGCCCCAGCTAAGCAGGCATGAGGTTTGGAGCCACTGGAGCCAGCCCCTGGCCTTCAGGACGGTCCCTGCAGGTACTGATGGGGAGCTGAGGTGGGGATGCAGCCTAGGTAATGGGGAGGGACTGGTGGGGCAGCTTTGGGGTATATTCACAGCACCCTTCGACCATCTTTAGCTCACTGGATGTGACCTGCAGGGTGAGAAATGTGGGCAAATTTTGCAGATGGGAACAGGGATTCGGTGAAAGGGTGGGACTTCTCAGAGGCCTTGTGAGTTAGTGAGGAGGCCAATGAGGCTCTTTCTTCTTTCTCCACCCTTTAACCTCAAGCTTTTGGTTTCTGCCAAGGTCTGGGGTGGGCTGTTTTCACCTGTTAGCCTATTTCTTCACCTGTGAAGTGGGTACCATGGTACCACGGCAGGGCTGCTGTGATGAAGTCATACAATGCCCCATGTCGGCTGAGCACACAGCAGGTCTGCTGGGTCACCTGGGACCTTATAAAGGCCTTGGGTCATCCCTCAGCACCACATTATGGGTGGGGGATGCTGGAGTGACTGGGGGTGGGGCACACTTCTTTAACCCCTCTCCTCTTCTTCCTACCCTCTGGGCAGAAACCAGGAAGAAAATCCCACCTCTCCCTTGGTTGGGCCACATCATCCTGGGCGTTGGCAGTTTCGTCGGTCTTGTCCTCTTGGTTTACTTTCTGGGCAACTTCCGGTGCATCAGGCTATGGTAAGAAGAATGCTCCCCTCCCCGGCTTCCACGTCTCGGTCTGACATCTCCCACGGCCAGGTCAGCTTCTGGGCTGAGCCCTGTATTCTGACAGTCCAATGCCCCCTCTGCCATCCCAAGGGCCCTCCCTGCCTAACATCTGGCCTTTTCCCCAAAAAAGGGAGGCCCAAGGGACCAGCCCGACAGGAGAGGAGTAGGGAGAAGCCCATGGGAGCCCTGCCCGGAGCATTAGGCTCAGGACTTGAGTATGTACATGTATATGAGCCAGCTGCTTTGTGTTGGGGGCTGGGGTGTCGTTATGGGTCTGAACATTCATTTGTTCTTTCCTTCATTTGCCGAGTCCCAGCTCAGAACCAGGTATGGTGCTGAGCGCTGGGAATGTAAGCAAAGCCACAGGCATGTTGTCACATTTTCAGGGACTCACCATCCCATGGGGGATGCCAGATATTTATCATGCAGGTTTATAATGACATGAGATTAGGGTGGTGAAGGAAGGTGCTAGATGTACTAGAAGTAGACAATAGGAAGGGGAGCCTCAGCTAAGAGGTGACCAGGGGATGCATCCCCGAGGCAGCGATGATGGCATTGAAATCTGGAGGAGGAGCAAATCAGGCAGGGAAGGGTCAGGAGCTTGTCCATCCCAAGCAGAGGAAAAGCTTGTGCAAAGACCTTGGGTGGGAACAAGGGAGAAGCATTCCAGGAACAGAGAGTATAGGAAAGTGGGTGTGGTCAGAGACCAGAAGGAAGTTTGGGACCTGAGCCTGGACTTCTGGGCAGCAGCCAGGTTTCCTGGAGTCTTGAGGCATACATCTTGAAGTGGATGCACACAGACACTGGGGCACTCAGCTTGGCAAGCAGTGCATGGGCTGGGATTCAGCTTCTCGTCACCATCGGTCCTCCCCCTTAAAAAAAAAACACATAAAACCCAGGCGCCCTTGGGCAGTGCACAACTTGAACCACGGTCTATGGCAGCCTTGACGAGGAGGCCCACAGTCTGGCCTCTCTCTTACCTCCCTCCTCTTGGTTCACTCTGCTCTGGTCTTCTTCATGGTCCTCACCCCCACGTCCTTCTGCTCTCTCCACAGAACAAATGGTATACTTGCATACTTGGGTCATTAACTGGCTCCCCATTAGAAGGTCAGTTCCTTTAGAGCAGGGACCTCCTCTGTTGATTCTTCTTGTGTTCCCAGTGCCCAGCACAATACTCTCCCTTACTGGGCATGCAATCAACATCAACAGAATAAACGAACGTGTGTGGTGAGGCTCTGTGCCCTGCACTCAGACCTGCGGGGCTGATGGCAGGACTCTGTGGGCCCCCTCCCCTTCTCACCCTTCTTCCCTCCCTCCTCTCCCCTCTGCAGGCTGAAGAAGGTTCTGAAGTGTCACATCCCAGACCCCTCGGAGTTTTTTTCCCAGCTGAGCTCTGAGCATGGAGGAGATTTCCAGGTAGGAGTCTGGAGGAGGAGGACAGAGCAGGCAGTTGACACGGGCTGGCCAGAGGGTGGGCTGGGGTGTGGACAGGGTGGGAAGGAGGTGGAGAACAGCAGGTTTTGCACTTCGGGTGAAGAAATGTAAAGTCAGCTGCCTCTAGGTGTGTGTGTGTGTGAACAGTCGTGTAGGACTCTTTGCAACCCCATGGACTATAGCCGGCCTGGCTCCTCCGTCCATGGGATTCTCCAGGCAAGAATACTGGAGTGGGTGGCCATGGACTCCTCCAGGGGATCTTCCTGATCCAGGGATCAAACCCAAGTCTCTTGAATCTCCTGCACTGACAGGCAGATTCTTTAGCAACTTCACCACCTGGGACACCCTGGACCCCTCTCCCCAGTTCTGGCACCCGTGTTCTCAGGCTGAATGGCAGCGTCCATCTGAGTGAGCCAGCCTACCTGGGCTCTAACTCTGGCTCCACCACTTCCTGGCTGTGTGGCTTGGGGCAAGTTATAGAACCTCTCTGTGTCTCAAGTTTCCTCACCTGTAAAATGGGTGGTGGGGTAAGGTGAGATAATATTAGTATGATTACGATCCCAAGGACATAGCCCAGCATACAGCTAATGCTCACAAAACCCTCACTGGAATTACCCGCACTGGGCTGTTGTTGGAACAGGATTCACCAGGCTCAAGTTCTCACCCCGCTCTCGTGCAGATCTGCTCTGAGGGGCTAGTGCTTTCCCTGCTCTCGAAAAATTCCCCCAGCCAGCCTCCATGACTTATCACAAGTGCTAGCAAGACCTCTAGGCATTTCTAGTTACAAAACAGATTCATTTTAAAAGTGCACCCCTGTATGTCGGAATGCTCTGAATGCCATGCAGAGTTCAGCCGTCTCCCTCAGCCCACACATGCTTCAGGAAGGAAGCTTCCGGGAGGGAGGGGGGTATGGTGGGCCACTTCTACCACCCCACCCCATACTCTAGGCTCACTAGATTCGTGTTGGTGGAGGGGGTGAGGTGGGAGTGGACAGAGGTCAAGAGAAATGCCCAGAGGCTGGGAAGCCATGCTGGAGCAGGCCTGTCACAAGCTGGCTTTGGCGTTCTCTAACGGGGCTGATCAGGGCCCCTTCTGGAAGTCTCTGGAAAACTCTCAGGACTGGGCACATCTTGCCTGCAGTGCTCCTTATGTGGGAAATGTATCTCCTTAAAACTCTTCCTTTAGCCTGAAAATTAGTGATCTCCCCACCAACAAAGGTATTCAAGTCAGCCTTGGCTGACTGTGTATTGGTCACATGGTAGAAGGAATACCAAGTGGGAAGCTGGACTAGATGCAGCCTCAGACCTCTTCCAGCTTGAGGTCCTTCTGAGTCTATGGGCTTGGGACATTTTGAGGTAGGGCTGGGGTCCTTTCTAGAGAGCTGCATCTTCCCATGAGATCAACCCTAGGTCGAAATGCCTAGCCCAGGTCTGTCATGTGTGGTGGGGGGTATCCCGAAAAGGCCCTGGGGATGCAGATGTGACTAGGGGCGACAGATGGCCGAGAGGGACCCCACCCTCTCCTCTGCATCTGGGTGACAGGCCAGCTCCTCTCTCTCTCTGCCCCAGAACCCCGAGCTCCAAGACCCCAGGGCCCACTGCCCTGTTCGTGGGACCCAGGAGTGCGTGTGCCAGTGTGTGTGACAAGGATGAATTTCTTCCTGTGCCGCACCACAATCCCCCCTCCCCCGCCCACGTCCACTTCAAGGCATTGTGGATGGAGGCCCAGGCCCCGGAAGTGCCTGACCACACAGCTCTGAGGCCTAGCACACCAGTGCAGGCCACAGAGCTGCCCTTTCCTTCTGGCCGCTGCTCAGCACTGCTGCCTGACCCTGCCTTCTGCTGCCTCTTTGAGTGTTGGAGCCCCATCCGGCCTGGCTCTTGCCCTCTCTCCCGCCTCTGTCCTTCGCCATCCTTAGTTGGCCCTCACTGTCCTTCTCTCTCGGCCTTTTCTCCTGTAACATGAACACCTGGCTTGGGGAAGGGGGTAGATGTTGTCGAGTGGTCCAGTCATTAATTCACCTGCAACATATCGACTGGGCCTCTTGATCCCCATGCTGGGCACAAGGGTGCAGAGGGGACCCGTCACACCTGGGCCCTGCACTCAGGGGACCACAGTCAGGCTGCATAGGACTCCCAGGACAGAAGGCTGTTGGGGTTCTCAAGTGCAACCTCCTGAAGCCCCATCACCCTGTCCTCAGGGGTGTACTGTCCCCTATGCCTCTGCTGGGCATGTGCATTTAACTTGTGCCAAGTGTTTCCATCTTCATTTTCTTCTTTAACATCTCTCTGCTGGGCCATAGTGAGGCAGTCAGGAAAGAGGCAGCTAACTATTACAGAACTGAGGCTCAAGAGGTACAGTCACCTGCCCAGGGTCACACAACTAGTGAGTGCCAGGGCCAGGGCTGGAACTGGGTCTCCCTGCTCCTTGCCAGGGCTCTCCAGACTCCAGAGCAACTGAGAAGTGCTTGCCTCTGATGGGTGATTGCCTCTCTCAGTGTGTGGAAGGTGTGGGAGGCAGGGGGCTGGACCATTAGCTCCCAGCTGGAGATGGTTCCATGGCAGTGTGAGTGGGGAACCTGAGGCCCAGCTTTTCTACCTGCTGGCTGTGTGATCAGGGCCAGGACATAGGCACTCTCTGGGGATCCGTATGGTGGTCGTGACGTACTCTCAGGGCTCTTCCTGCTTCGGCAGTGGTTGATTGGTTGGTTCACACACCCACACTGGTCCCCACCAGTCAGTCTGAGGATTCCATCCATCGCTATGTCCCCGGGACCTGGAGCAGCACTAGGTTCTCAATACTAGCCACTCAATAAGCAGTCAGGCATTGACCCAACACATCCCCTGGGCCCCTAGTGAGCCAGAAAGACCTGTGCTGAGGTTGGGAAGCAGGTACACTCATTCCCCCAACCAGTAGGCAGAGTTTGTGTGTGTGTGCATGTGTGTGTTTGGGAGGTAGGGCAGCGGGGGGTGGGGGGGGGTGGTGGTGTGTGTAGGGGGGGTGGTGGGGTTGCAGTCAGGGAGGGCATCCCAGAGGGGGCAGCCCTGAGTCTACTGCTAAAGAAGGAGGAGTTAGGGGTTATTGCTGAGTTTAGAAGAGATGGCCCCCTCACCCTCCCATTGTCCTTTCTCTTCACAGAAGTGGCTCTCCTCACCCTTCCCCTCGTCCTCCTTCAGCCCCAGTGGTCTGACCCCCGAGATCTCCCCACTGGAGGTGCTGGACAGGGATGCCAAGGCCACACAGATGCTCCTGCTTCAGCAGGACAAGAGCTCACCATCCTCAGCTGAGACCAGCGGCCACTCGGTGACCAGCTGCTTCACCAACCAAGGCTACTTCTTCTTCCGCCTCCCGGACGCCCTGGAGATTGAGGCCTGCCAGGTCTACTTCACTTATGACCCCTGCACCGAGGAGCTTGATGCGGGTGGGCCCAGGGCCCCCGAGGGAGCTCTCCTTCCACCCCTGCCGACTCCACCAGGGGATGACGATGCCTACTGCACCTTCCCCCCCGGGGAAGACCTGCTGCTCTTCTCTCCGAGTCTCCTCAGTGGCCCAGGCCCCCCGAACACTGCCCAGCAGGGCACTGGGGCTGGTGAAGAGAGGCTGGCAACCAGCCCACAGGAGGGAGTCCCTGGAGACTGGACCCCCCAGTCCCTGGGGCCTCCTGCTCTGGAAACCCCTGACCTGGTGGATCTGCAGTCACCCCCAGAGCATGAGCTGGGAGAAGCAAGAGAGAAGGTGCCTGACCCCCATCCAAGGGAGGGGACCAGCTTCCCCTGGGTCAGCCCTCCCAGGCAAGGCCAAGTCTGGGCCCCCATTACCTGCCTGACCCTGAACACCGATGCCTACCTGTCCCTCCAAGAGCTCCAGGATCAGGACCCAGCTTACTTGGTGTAGACAGACAGCCGGAGCTGGGAGGCAGGTGGCCATCCACTGCTGCGCCAGGCCTGCTTGAGGACTCTGTGTCCGTGAAGCTTGTCCCCTGATGAGACACTGGGTGTCCAGCAGCCTCTGGACATCTCTGCCCAGAGGGCCTCACCCAGTCCTGCATACTCAGCTGTTCATTTCCAAACCTCAGTTGCTGCTCCCTGCACCTACGCCCCAAGCCAAGAACTTTGGGGGTGGGGTCCTTTGACTCCCCCACTCCCTCATTTGTCATGAAGTCCTGTGGGTTTTACCTCTTCACCCTGGCTTACTCACTGGGCTTCCTGCCTCGATCACACCCCTCCCACCCACCCACCACAGGACAATCAGCGGAATCTTTCCAAAACATAAATGGAGCTATGCTGCCCCTCCTGGAGAAGGAAATGGCAACCCACTCCAGTATTCTTGCTTGGAAAATCCCATGGACAGAGGAAGCTGGCGGGCTACAGTCCATGGGATTGCAAAGAGTTGGACATGACAGAGCGAATGAGCATACACGTGCTGCTCCTAGTTTAAAATCCTGCCATGGCTCACCACTGCCCTCAGTACAACTTCTTGGCCTACCCATTGGGTCCTCCAGCATCATGTTGGGACATTCCTATCTAGAACCCTCCCAACAGTCCTACTCAAAGACCCTGATGCTGGGAAAGATTGAAGGCAGGAGGAGAAGGAGGCGACAGAGGATGAGATGGTTGGATGGCAGCACTGACTCGATGGACATGAGTTTGAGAAAACTCCTGGAGATAGTGAAGGACAGGGAAACCTGGCGTACTGCAGTCCATGGGGTCTCAAGGATTCAGATACGACCAACCGACTGAACAACAGTCCTACAAAGCCACTTGGAACTCCCTCATTTCCCCACGCCTTTGTGCTTGTGATTTCCTGTTCCTGGGGGGCCCTCTCCTCCCTCATCTTTTGATGACAAACTCCCATTATCCTTCAGGTGGCAGTTCTGCTTCCCTTGCAGGGAAACACTGCCTCCTTTCATGTGCCCAAACTCGAGAATCAGTGCTGGAGGGACAGGTTCTCAGGGTCACAGGGTGGTGGGACAAAGTGTCTCTGTCATGTCCCCTTTGGGATCTCTGGTGACCTCGGAATGGTTGCCTACAGCTGTGGCCCAAGTCTGTGCACAAATGCCCAGGAAAATGGACCCTGGCTGGATCTTTCCACAATGGCAAGCCTCTGGAAAGTAAACCCCTCCAAGTGGTGGGTCCTGATGCTGTCGCAGGAGCCCTCCCTCGTGCCCCTCCTGCTCCACCCTCCACTGGAGGGGTCTTTTCTGCAGCTCAAAGGCTGGCACACTGCCTCCTGATGGCAGTTCCATTCCCTGCCCTTGACAGAGTGCACTTTACATCCTATCAGAGTCCCTGCGTGAATTAATGAACTATCTGGCATCACCATGCCTGGTCTCCCTGTGCCCTTGCTGCCTTCATTCAGGGGGGATACCATCGACCTCTCAGGGGCACCCCTGGCACTTTGACGTCTCTGAGGTCAAGCCTTAGAGAGGCAGGCAGTCCATGTCCACTAGGTTCCGGCATGCCCGCCCCAGCAAAAGGCTCATCCCCACACATGGCAGTCCTGCCCCGCCACACACGGTGAGCCCCTTCCTTCTCGGTGCTCCCACCACCCGTCCACTTCTTGTCCTTCTATGCCTGGCACTGATCACACTTGTGACGACAAGAATTCTCCCAGAGGCGAGAACCACAAGGGGTCCCCGATAATCAGCCGAGGTGTGAAAGCGCACAGTGCCTGCTTTTATAGGCCCTGCTTTCAACTGATTGGGCACCTGACACAAGCCCACCCATTACTTCGTCGGCAGCCTATGAGGTGACAGAGAACAGAAGCTCTGGCCAATCAGGGAGGCCGGACCTGAACTGGCCAATCAGGTTTCTCTCAGTCGGCTTTTGAATACAGAGCTGGAGGGGAGCCTCTGGGAGCAGGTACCACGTGAACAGGGACAGGAGAGACCGAAAGGCTAGAGGGGAGGTAGCAGAGGGTGTCTGGGCTCCTAGTACGGATGCGCCTGCTCCACAGGGGACTGCTGCCTTCACTCAGGATTCCTGTTGCTTTTATGTCCAAAATAAACTCCCCCTTTCCTGAGGACGTCTGAATCTTGGATACTTACCACTGAATAGCTTACCCGCCTGTAGAAAAACAGGCCTCCTGTCTTAATGCTGTGTGTTCTGGACCGTGAGTCATCTCAGTCCTGAGGAGAGCACCAGTCCCAAACTCAGTGCCTGCAGCTGTGCTGTGTGTCCTGGGGCAAACTAGGAAATCTCTCTACGAGTGACTTTCCACTTTGCAAAATTCTACCAGAGGGTACATTTCTCAGGTCTTGATCATCGTGTGAGGTGTGTATATATATATATATGTATATATCTCACACACGTGTATATGTTTGTATATTTTAATGATCTGTGTGTATCATTATTGTTTACTTAGTATTTTTTTTCTTTAAATCAGTTCAATTTTTGTTTCAATACTTTTATTTAAGGAAAAATCTTTATGTTGATTCTGTAAATGGAAAAACCAATATTCACTATAACTAAAAGGCAATAGCACAAAGTAAATACAGTAAAACAGAACGCTTCAATTTATTACCTGCTGAAAATCTGCTCTCTTATTTTAAAGGGGAGATAAGCAAGTGTTGGGAAGCTGATGAAGGCATATGAAAACCAGAGACTTCTTTCTTGAGAAAATGCTGAAGGATTATAAATGGAATGTCTTTTTCACAAAAAGGAATCAGATTTATCTTACTCTGTGTCCAGGCACCATTTGACATGGTCTTATGGGAAAATATTGCACTTGATTATGTAAATGAAAATTGCTCAGTTGTGTCCAACTCTTTGCGACCCCAGGGACTGTAGTCCATGGAATTCTCCAGTCCATAATACTGGAGTGGGTAGCTGTTCTCTTCTCCAGGGGATCTTCCAACCCAGCGATCGAACCCAGATCTCCTGAACTGCAGGCGGATTCTGTACCAGCTGAGCCACTAGGGAAGCCCCACTTGATTATACATATATATATATATTCAAATTATATGTTTAATCAAATATACAACCAAACATGTATAATCATATATATATAATTTTAAATTTATATGTAACAATAATTTTATTTATGTTTAAAATATAAGTTTATTTTTTTCAGTGTCCTTGATTCTGAAAAGTTGGCCCAGATCATGAGTAGTAATGTCTGGCATTCATTAAGCTGAACTCAGGGCAGACACTGCTGATCAATCATATCAATAGTACTGTTGCTTGGCAGACACTGCTAGCTGACCACAGCCCTCCTTTCTCTGGTGCTTGGACGCAGTCTTATATTCTGTAGGCAGGTCCCAATTGATCATAGCTGGCACCTGGTGGTAGCTCTAGACCAGATAACCCCTCAGGTTTCTTCCACAACAGAAGTTATTGCTCCCGACTCCGATTTTCTTGGCAGGTAAAACTGAGGCTGAGATGATGGAGAGAGGAAAGCTGAGAAGGGCTTATGAGCAGGCACATCCAGGGAACCCAGCTGTCCCTACCCAGTCTGACAGGAGACCTGAGCTGGCAGTGAGCAGAGTAGGGAGTCACGTTATACCAAGTAGAGATGGACTGATGGGCTGGAAGCCACAGTGTGACATGTTTAATGTGCAGTAGGGTATGGGTCTTGGGAGATGGGGTAAGGAGGAGGCAGCTGGCAGGCGCAGAAGAGATGAAGGAAAGACAGGCTTGCTTGGGTCAGACTGTAGGAGAGAGGAGAGGCACCAGGTGGGGACCAGGCAGCCTAGGGTCTCAAAGAAGTGTCAGGTGCGGAGCAGTAAGTAGGAGGCAGCCAGGGCTGATTGGGGAATAAAAGAACAGAGAGGAGAGGTGAGAAGGGCCTTCCAGCCCCTCAGGTCTTCAATGTCTTGAGCTGTATTTATTCCTTCACCTCCCCAATCCCCCAATATCTCTGCTCTCCCCCGACCTACCAATTCCTACTCCAAGCAACTTCCACTGTCCACAGTTATCAAGCAAATTACTGTGGAAACAGTTCATGACTAGGATGAATCACTTACCACTGTCCTCCGACTTATTGACATCCTGAGTGAGTGAGTGAGTGAAGTTGCTCAGTCGTGTCCAACTCTTTGCGACCCCATGGACTATAGCCCACCAGGCTCCTCCATCCATGGAATTTTCTAGGCAAGCGTACTGTGGTGGATTGCCATTTCCTTCTCCAATTGACATCCTAGATAACTTTAAAAAAATGATCAAGAAGCACCTTTAAAAGTGGGAAGGCAGCTAATATTTTATGTTCCAGACACAGTGCCAGACATTTTCCAAGCAGCATTTCATCACCTGAAAAGAACTTTGTGAGGCAGGTGTCATGCTCCACATTTTGCTGATTAGGAAACCGAGGCTCATGGAGGTTAAGAAATGCAGCTGATTGTTGGTGGATCCAGGATTCAAACTCAGTGCATTTGGTGCCAGAGATTTTGACCCTTTTGCATATACAAGGCTGCATAAGGGACAATTATATTAATGGGAAAAAACAAGCAAAATTCCATTCTAAGCTTCCTGGTTGTTGTTGTTGTTCAGTCACTCAGTCATGTCCGACTCTTCATGAACCCATGGACTGCAGCATGCCAGGCTTCCCTGTCCTTCACCATCTCCTGGAGTTTGATCAAACATATGTTCATTGAGTCAGTGATTCCATCCAACCCTCTCATCTTCTGTCATCCCCTTCTCCTGCCCTCAATCTTTCCCAGCATCAATGTCTTTTCCAATGAGTTGGCTCTTTACATCAGGTGGCCAAAGTATTGGAGTTTCAGCTTCAGCATCAGTCCTTCCAATGAATATTCAGGACTGATTTCCTTTAGGAGTGACTGGTTTGATCTCCTTGCTGTCCAAGGGACTCTCAGGAGTCTTCTCCAGCACTCCAGTTTGAAAGAATCGATTCTTCAGTTCTCAGCCTTCTTTATGGTCGAACTCTCACATCCACACATGACCACAGCAAAAACCATAACTTTGACTATATGGACCTTTGTTGGCAGTGATGTCTCTGCTTTTTAATATGCTGTCTATGTTTGCTATAGCTTTTCTTCCAAGGAGTAAGCATCTTTTATTTTCATGGCTGCAAGTCACCATCCATAGTGATTTTGGAGCCCAAGAAAATAAAGTCTGTCATGTTTTCATTTTTTCTCCATCTATTTGCCATGAAATGATGGGGCTGGATGCTTCCTGGTAACTAGTTGAAAAAAACAAAAGCAGCTTATATTCCATGCTTGTGATTGTGATCGAAACCATCCCATCCTTGTGACCTGGAAACATCACTTCTCACTCAGGTTCCTGCTCAGCCTCCTCCTGGTCCACTGGTCCCCCTCCACTTGCTCCCCCATTCTTCCACCTCTGAGCCCTTCCAGGGTGATCTTATCATCGGCACATCTGGGTCACGCCACATCCCCACCTAAACCCCCAACAACTCCCTGTTGTTTTCAGGACACTAGCTGAAAGCATTAATGTGATAATGAATGACTTGGGGACTCCACGCAGGTCCCATCTGGTTTCATGGCTCATTCATCTGTCTGTGAATGGCATAGTCAGATGGATGATTTCTAAGTACTCTCCTAGCCCTGATAGTCTGTAGTTTCAGGTGTCACACGGAATGTGGCTTGTGGCTGGGATTACATGTATTTCACTTCAAGAGTGACAGGCTGGGGCTCGGGGGTGGGGATGGGAACAGGGACCACAGCTGACTCACTTGCTTTGGGACATGCTGGTCTCTGGGTTTGAAACAGACCGGCCACCCAAACAATTCACTCCTGGACTCTTACACATCCCTCAGGACCTTCAAGTATCCCCACTCTGGAAGGCCCTCTGATTCATTCCAAGTTGGACTGCGTACTTCCTCCTACTGTGACTCTCCTGAGTTCCCTCTCTTAACCATCTCTCACGCTATGGGCCAGAGAGATCCTGAGCTAGATTCTGGAGTTACAGGGCTGATAGTAACAGCTATGGGAGAAAACCAGCTAGAGCCCCACTAGCACAAGCCTTTATTTGGAAATACCAGGCACAAGAAGACAATGAAAAAAAAAAAAAAGAAGACAATGAAGGAGTTTCTGACTCAGGGACGGAGGCGAAATGTTGCGCCAGGCTGTAGTAGGGGCTCAGCTGGAGTTCAGCTTGTATTGGAAACAATTGTTTGAGGGTGATTCTTGAGAGAGAGAAACTGGTCTTATAGATCAGCAGCTACCATTTAGCAATTTGGATTTTATCAACAGGCAGCGTGGGAGGGGCAGGTGAAGGGACAAGGACCTGTGAGGGCCACAGTGGAACGTTCATCCTTCAGGGTCTCATCAAAGGGGCATTTTTTGAGCACTTAGCAGGCATCAGACTCTGTTCTGAACGCATGGTGTTACTAACTCACTTGATCTTTACAACATTGCCACAAGGGAAGGACTATTCTTACCCATTTTACAGATGAGAGGACTAAGTCACATAGTTAATGACTTGCTCAAGGACACAATTGGAACACAGTAGAGCAAGGATCTGAACCCAGGCAGTCTTTAGCTCTCACACAGGCTAGCTTTTTACTGCTTTAAAGTGTGTGCCTCAAAGATCTCATACAATCTCTCAGCATCCCAGCCTGACAAGAATGACCAAGATTCCAGGTTCTGCATCACAGGTACAGACATGCAATCCTGAGAGGAGGTTGCCCTGTGCCAGGCCACTCAGTGAATCTGACTCAGGGAATGACTGGAAACCTGGACTCTCACCCTTGCAGCCTGCTGTCTCCTGGCCTTTGTCACTGGGGGTGGGGAGGGTGGTTGGGTTGTTGATTAAACTTGAGCTCAGCACCAACAGCCTGGGCCTGGCCCCTGTGACAGCCCCGGGACATCCCCTTGGGTGGCTCTGAGACATTTTCCACCACCGCAGGTATGACACACGTCCCATTGCAGCGCCCGGGAGGGAGGCTGTCGGACAGAGCTGTGAGAAAGCAAGGCCGGAAGTGCTGAGTGAGGGGAGAGTTGCCTGTGGGGAGAAAAGGTACCCAGTCTACAATTCCAGGAAGTCAGGATGCAGAGGGGAGGGAGGAGCTGGCGGGAGATGCATCAGCTTCCAGTCCTCTGCATCTGGGCCGCATGCCAAGCCCCGGCCACGAAAAGACTGCCTGCTGCCCAGTCGGCAGAGACTCCAGCCCTTGGTGGAGGGCGTGACCGCAAAGGATGGACCAGTCAACACACAGTCGCACCCTCCTGCTCTGGAGGGCTGTCAATCACAGCCTTTATCGGAAATACCCGACCTGGGAAAGCTCCGGAGTCTCCTAGCTTGGGGAGGGAGGGTGGAATTCTGTATAGGTCTTTAACAAGAGGAGTTCAGCCTCATTAGTTTCAGATACACACATAGTAGTCTCCCCTTACCCTTGGGGGACACAGTCCAGACCCCCAGTGGATGCCTCCAACCAAAGATAGTGCTGTGTGCTAAGTTGCTTCAGTCATGTCCGACTCTTTGTGACCCTGTGGACTCTAGCCCACCAGGATCCTCTGTCCGTGGGATTTTCCAGGCAAGAATACTGGAGAACCGAATCCCATATATACTGTTTTTACCTATACTGTACCTACATACCTATGATAGAGTTTAATTTATAAATGAGGCCCAGGGGACTTCCCCAGGGGTCTAGTGATTAAGACTCTGCCTTCCAATACAAGGGACATGGGTTCAATTCTTGGTCAGGGAACTAAGATTCCATATGCAGCATGGTGTGACCAAAACATTAAAAATATTTTTTTTTAATAAATAAATGAGGCACAATAAGAGAATATCTGAATTGCCAACATCACTACTCTTGAACTTTAGGGCCATTACTAAGTAATACAAGGGTTACTTGACCACTGCTCTGAGATACTTCAACAGTCCATCTGATAACCAAGGTGGCTACTAAGTGACTAACGGCAGAATATGCTGGATAAAGGAGTAATTCATGGCCCGGATGAGGTAGAAAATGATTTGAAACTTAGGAGTTGTTGATTTCTGGAATTTCCCATTTCATATTTTTGAACTGAGGTTGACCGCGGGCAACTGAAACTGCAGATATGGGTTGGGGCGGGGGGTTACTGTAGTTGACCAAAGTTGGCTCCTGGAGGAAGTGTTCATTTATTCACTCAATGTGCATTTCCTGAGGGCTTATTATGTGCAGGGTGTGTGCTAGTAGTGCCCAGAATGCAGCAGTGGACAAAACACAGTCCAGCCTGCCTTGAGGCTCCTACAGCCCTTTTGGGACAATGGGTGTGGTGGTTAAAGTCCTAACTCTAGACCTAGGTGACATGGATTAAATCCTGGTTCTGCCACTTACCAGCTGTGACCATGGGCAAGTGCCTAAACTTCTGTGTGCCTCCGTGTTCTCATCTGTAAAAGGCAGAGGGAAGGACCAGGACTGTTGTCAGGATTTAAGAAGCGAGTGTATACAAAGTAGTTAAAAGAGATGAGCTGGCTTTGGGGAGATAGGACAGAGAGATACAGGGCTGTGACCAGGGAAAACCCAAGGGCTGCAAGTGTGGAGGCAGCTGATTTGCTGGGCAGCTTCTCAGATGCTCTCTGCTGTTTGGGGCAGGGCTGACCTGGATGCCACTGCAGTGTCTATCTACCCCAAGCACCTGGTAAGTCTCAGGGCTTAATGTGTGGCTTAAGGTGTGACCCTCCCTAGGGGGACACAAATGCCCCCAGGGATCAATCTCTAACAGGGGGGATTCCAGAGGTATGAGAAAGGCAGAAGGAAATCTACAGAATCTTCCGCCTGCCTCTCAAATCCATCCACATGCGCTGCTGCCAGCCTAGTCCAGGGTCAAGGGCATTCAGTCTGTCCCATTTGTCCCAGCTCTGAGCCCCTCATCCCCTTTGAGGCTCAGTCTCTTCAACTGTAAACTGGGGTGAAAGGTGCAGGGGGAGGGGAGTTTGTCTAACCTGAAAGCTCTCTTCTGACTCAACCAGTCTGTTCTGGATGGAGTCCCCACTCACTCAGCTAAAAATGACCCAGAAAGTTTGTCTTGGCAATTTTCCTCCCCAACCCCCGTCTCAATGTTAAGTACCCAGGGGAGATACTAATTAGATAAACCTCGTGTGACATGATTGGCAGCCCACCCTGCTGCAGGCAACCCATTCCCCATTCATTCCTATGCATTTATTGAGCTCCTACTGTGTGCACGGCACTGTTCAAAGTAGATATTGGATTGCAGGGAACTGGGATCGCTTGGGTCAGGTCTTGGTGTTGGTCAACCCCAGTGTTTGAGAGGGTGTCCCTGGCCAAAGGTCCAGTGACTCTAGTAAATACAGGTGCAGGAGAGCTCCAGCTGCAGTGGTCAAAGCAACCATCCGGGAGCTGAGTAAGTCAGTGAAGTCTGTTGCTTGTGATTTATGCAAATAGGAGACTAACAACGAAAGCTTTACTGCTGGGATCCCAACCCAGATGCAGATACTGCTGGGGGAAGCTGTGGGGGGCAGATCACAGCAACAGTGCTGAAAATGATGACAGCAACATGCAGTGAGTACTTAGTAGGTGCAGGCACTGTTCTGAATTCCACTCATCAGTTCTTTCTTTCAGTTTTCACACCACTTATAGTTATTGTCTCATTTTCTATATGAGAGAGCGAAGGCATAATAAGATCAAATAACTTGTAACTCAGGTCTTATGCTAATAAGAGTCAGAGTCAGGACTTGAACCCAGGCTTCTGGCTTCAGTACTTGTGTTTTTAACCCAGACAGTGGAAGACAATTAGGAGTGGTGGGGGTCTGTGTCATATTGAAATTGCTCAGGGGAGCCACCACTGACAGTTGTTGTGTTGGGAGGCAGACCCAGATCTTTGAAACATTTAAGGGAAACTGGAGAGTATAGTATCCTGAGTTTCAAATATTGGCAACTAACTTAAAAAAAAAAAAATTAAAACACAAACAGGCCAAGCAAAATGTGTCTTCTTGGGAGGAATAAAGGAAAGCCATCTTCTGGGATTTACTGTAAAAGGTCGCTTCCTCCAGACCTTGGCTGGGCTGGGCGCTCCATCCTCCCCACCCTGTGCTCTGAGTCCCACTGTGAGCCTTTGCGGGCCCTGATGCCGTATGCCCTGTTCATCACTGGATTTCAGCACCTGCCACAGGATGTTCATTGAGTGAATGTGTAGACTGTGAAGGGGTGAGGGGAGGGAGAGAGGAAGACACAAAGGGAGGGAGAGGCAGTTACACAGAGGTTCCAAGAACATGGACTTGCATAGAAATCAGAAACCAACGAGGATGGCCGAAGGGACAGAGCCCACAGGCATTAGGACCTCACGCAGCCCCACCAGCATGAGCAGCTGCCCTGATGACATGGAGCCTCAAGGAGAAGAGAGGCACCCTTCAAGGCCAGAGCCAGTGCTGGGGCTGCCTCTAGGGGCAGCAGGAAAGAGGCTCCTTGGAGAGCTTTCTGTTCCTTCGACCTTGAACAGGGCTCCCCTGGAGAAGCAAGAGTCAGACTCTCAAACTCAACCACCTATAGCGAGGAGCTCTGGCTGCAACAATATTTGAGGTTATATACACACGTGTGTGTGTGTGTGCCTTGGAAATTTTTTTTAACTTTCTACCTAAGAACTTGCATGCTCGGTAATGATATTGCCCTTTGATTTTATTTTTAAACATTTAATTTGGGTCAGAATGCTGGCAAGAGCACAGGCTTGGGAACCTGGGTAATTTGCATTTCAGCCCCTACCCTGTTTCAGCCATGCCACGTGACTTTTTGGGTAGTCGTCAATTCACCCCAACACCCTGCCTGGAACCCCTCCTGCTGGGACCCCATGGTGGAGAAGGCCAGGTTGAATGACGCATCAAGAGTTTCCATTCTGTGTCCCCAGTGGCCTGGCCTGAGGCAGCGCCTCTCAAACCTCAAACCCCTGATCAGAAGCCACTCCCCTGACCACCCGGCTGGGAAAGGGCAGGCTGGAGACCTGTGAACCTGTGAGTTCTCACCTGGCAGACAGAGGCCAAAGGCCAGGGTCCAAGAGGGCTGAGGGAGCCAGAAAAGGGGTGGCACGGTGGGGAGGGACACACACCCAGAGGGGATGAAGTCAGAGGGCTCTGAAGTCAGGGGTTCCTGGGTCTGAACCCCAGCACTTCCTGCCGTGTGGCCAAGAGCGAATGACACCTGCTTACTCAGCTCCACTTTCTCACCGGCAAAATGGGGTCAAGTGGCCATTTTTTAATTAGGGGATGAGGCCCGCCTTGTGTCTGGTTAGTAGTAGCGTAAAGTCACAGAGTCTCAGGGCCTCTATGGGGATCCTGGAGGAACTTAGGACCTTGAACCCCTCTGCAAGTGAGGGAACTCAGGGACCAAGATGATGACTCCTGCGAAGGCTCCTGTTTGGCTCCACGGCAGCCCCTTCCTATGGACTCCCCTTCCTAAAGCACTGAGGAGCACCTCTAAGTCTACCAAGGGCCCTGTCCCCCATCTGCCGTTGTGAAGACAGAGGTCTGCGTCTGTCCCACTGTCTCCCGGGGTGGGCCTCATCCCTCAGGGCAGACACTGAGCCTTGCTTGCTTCCGTGGCCTGGGGGTCAGCAAAGGCCAGCACCGTGTCGGTGCTTGACACCTGTTTAAAGAAGAAGTGAGCTAGTGGCTGTAGGTGTGCGGTGCATTGGACAGAGGTATCAGAAGGACCCCTGCCTGGGCAGCCTCTGAAGGTTTGGTTGAAGCAACGGGAAAGATGGGTGCAGCTCAGGGAGTTCCTCCCCACTGCCCACCTCCATGGAGCTCCAGAGCCTGCAGGAGGGAGAAGGGGGCAGGTTGGACCTGTGTCCGTGTGGGAGGAGGGTGAGGAGGGTAGGAGTTCAGAGAAAAAACAGGCTTTGGAAGCGACGTGAGGACCCAGGGCGACACGGATCTTTGGAACAGCAGTCCAGAGTGTTGTCAGTAACCAGCCTGTTCCCAGCCTCTCACCTTGTCTGTAACAGGCCGAACTGTGTCCCCAGAAGATATGTGGAAATCCCAAATCCTAGTAGCTCTGCATGTGACCTTATCCAGATCTAGGAAATTTTGCAACTGTGAATAGATGAGGTCACTACGTGAGCCCGGATCCAACATGACGGGTGTCCTTAAAGGAAGAGACACTGAGAAAGACACACAGGGAGAAGGCCATGCTGCAAGGGAGGCAAAGGTTGAAGTCACGCTGCCGCAACCCAAGCAAGGGTACCAGCAGCCACCAAAGCTGGGAGAGGCAGGAAGGAGCCTCCCTTAGAGATTCCGAGAGAGTGTGCACCTGTGGGTACCTTGATCCTGGACTTGAGGCCTCCAGATCTATGAGAGAAAGAGTTTTTATTGTTTTAAGCCACCCCGCCAGTGGTTCCGTGTTAGGACAGTCCCGGGAAACAATTACACACCACCTTGGCTTGAAGAGCCTCCTCTTTCCAGACACTGTCTAGACAGTGTCTGTCGGGGGCACCTGGAGCCCGCCCCTCACCCCTCACCGCAGCCCAGGGGCTGTGAGCCCTGTGCTCACTCAGAGGGTGTCAGAGCCGGCTCAGCCAGTCGAGAACCTTCCCTAGGGATATCCCAGCTCTACCCTCACTGGCCTTTTTGAGCTCTGAGACTTGCTGACCCGCAGGACAGGCTGACCAGGAGGGTTAGCGCTCTCATGTCTCCCAGCCTCATCCTCCTGAGACAGTCATTCCCTGTGCTGGACTGAACAGAATCCACAGAACCCATCTCCACCAGGAACCTGGGACACACAGTCTTTGCAGATTTAAGCCAGCAACCATGAGGTCATCCTGGGTTAGAGGGGCCCTAGATCCTCTCTAACTGGTGTCCTTACACCAAGAGGGAATTTGGACCCATAGACACAGACATCAAGGAAGAGAACACGTGACCATAAAGGCAGAGATCAGAGTGATGCTTCTCCAAGGCGAGAAATGACAAGGAATGCTGGTGACAATTAGAAGCTAGGAAGAAGCAAGGGAGGGTTCTTTCTCCCTTCAGAGAGAGAATGAACTGACGTGGGATTGTGGACTCCCCTCCAGAATTATGAGACAATATACCCTGTCGTTTTAAGTCACTTAGTTTAAGCCAATTTGTTATGGCTGCCTAGGAAACTGATATACCTCCCATCAAAGAGATCGGTTCCACCTGCTCCAGGTTATGCATCCTGGGATGGGCCAACCTCTTCTCTCAGAACCTCGGTCTCTTCTGCTGAGTGGAGACATGCAGTCCCACTCCCAAGCCTGAACCTGAGGCATCACCAGGGCTCCAGCTGGGGACCTGAAGTCAAAATACGAGGTTACCATGCATGGAGTAGACTGGAACTGTTACTTGTTCACTCAACAAATGTTAGCTTGTCCTGTTTGCCAGGCACTGTTCTAGGCTGGGATCCTAGATGGGACAAGACAGACAAACCCTTTGTCTTCATGAGGCTCACAGTCTAGGGGTGGGGAGAGTAGGGTGGGGATGATTTCAGAGGCGTGTTGTGACATGATTTGCCTCTGGGCTGTTGGAGTTCTCGCTGTGGGGCTTTCCTGAGTTCAGACAAGGTCAGCTTCCCCAGCTTCCTCCAACGTGTCTGAGCTCAAGACATCGTTAAAAATGCAGATATTTGGCTCTTCAGCCTCTCTGGTGGCCAGTTGTGAGCACCTGCTGTATTCACACA